TCCAGACTTGACACTTGGCATTCAGGCTAAAGAGTTCAATCTTTTTTTCAATCAGACCAGAGAGTTTTGTTTCTCATGGTCTGAGAGTCCCTCAGGTGCATTTTGGCAAACTCCAGGCAAGCTGCCATTTGCCTTTTACTGAGGAGTGTCTTCCGTCTGGCCATTGTACCATACAGTCCTGATTGGTGGAGTGCTGCAGAGATGGCTGTTCTTCTGGAAGGTTCTATTCTCTTCACAGAGAAATGCTGGAGCTCTTTCAGAGTGACCATTAGGTGCTTGGTTACCTCCCTGGCTAAGGCCCTTCTTCCTCAATCACTCATTTTGGCCGGGTGGCCCGCTCTAGGAAGATTCCTGGTGGTTACAAACTTTTTCCATTTACGCAAAGGTTGTGAATACTTATGTACATAATTTTTTGTTTTGTTTTTTATTTTTTAATAATTTGCAAAGATTTCAAAATGAATTTCTTCACATTGTCATTATGGGGTATTGTTTGTAGAATGTTGAGAAAAAAAAATAATTTAATCCATTTTGGAATAAGGCTGTAACATAACAAAATGTGACAAAAGTTAAGCGCTGTGAATACTTTCTGGATGCACTATAACAAGTAAATGTTAGTAAATGTCATTTACTGGACTGGAAACAAAACAATGAAGTATAAATATTCATTATTTTCTATTTACTGGACTAGAAAAATTAAAAAAGTAAATCGGAGAAATTGTGTGAAAAATACTAAAATGACTACCTGACCATTATGCCATATATAATATGATTATGAGAAAGTGATAGAATGTACAAATATGACACAATAATTCTTGTCATAATTTAACTATTTTGTTATCAATTAACCTATTGTTTGACACTTTTCAGATTATCTACTCTTCTAAAATACAAGGATATTTGCAGATTTACATGCATTAATAAGCATGTCTGGTTCATACTGTGGAAGTGTGCATTTTGGTGAGGAAATATCACAGTGTCTTGTTACAGCCTGGAGGTGGGAGTCTCTTAGCTTCAAAGCAAACTCAGGAAAACCTGGGTGGCCTTTAGTTAGTCAATATGTGTACACTTGCCGCAGGTCAGCCATGGACGCCGCTTATGTTCATACAAGTTACAACCTGATCACCTATGTACATCCAAATGAAAGGTGTTGTAATGAAAGAGTAAATAGTATACTGTACGCTATTAGCATTCATCACTTTGAAAATGCATTTCCTTGTCAAACATTGTTCTATAACTGAACTATGTAGAGAGCTTGTAAACATTAATGCACTGTCAAGGGGAAAAAGTTTTTACTCTTTCAAAAAATAAGCAAATATTCTTGATCCCCAAAAGCCTGTGATTTTTTTTGTAAGGGCTCATGCACATGACCATAATGAAATTACTGATCATCTACACAGGAACTTGCTGGCAGAATGATTGTGTAAAAAATGTATTTAACAGTCCATAATTACATAGTGTAGATTATTATTATTATTATACAGTATTTATAAAGCACCAATAGTTCGCTCAGCGCTGTACATTACAGAGGGGGACAGAACATGTGACAGAACAATACCAATACAATGCAAAACATGAGGGGATTGAGGGCCCTGCTCTTTCGAGCTTACAATCTAGGAGGGAGGGGATGGTGGCACAGGAGGAGATAGCTGTGGGGGATGGAGTGGTAGGAAGAGTGGAGGAGGTCGGCAAGTTAGCAGGGGGTGGGGTAGGCTTCCCTGAAGAGATGGGTTTTCAGGGTGCGCCTAAAGGAGAGGAGAGTAGGTGATAATATGATGGATTGGGGCAGAGAGTTCCAGAGGATGGGTGACACCCTGGAGAAGTCCTGGAGGTGGGCATGGGAGGAGGAGACCAGGGAACTAAGAGAAGGAGGTCTTGTGAGGAGCGGAGTGGCGTGCTGGGCGGTACTTGGATATTAGGTCAGTGATGTAGTTCGGGGCAGTATGGTGGACAGCTTTGTACGTCAGCGTTAGGATTTTGAATTTGATCCGTTGTGCAATCGGAAGCCAGTGGAGGGATTGGCAGAGGGGGGTGGCGGAGACGGAGCGGTTGGAAAGGTGAATGAGTCTGGCAGCCGTATTCAGGATCGACTGAAGCTGGGATAGCCAGCGGCGAGGCAGGCCAGTGAGGAGGGAGTTGCAGTAGTCGAGTCGTGATATGATGAGGGAGTTTAGTGGTTTCTGGAGTTAGGAACGTGCGGATTTTGGCGATGTTGCAGAGGTGGAGTCTGCACGAGTTTGTTAAAGATTGGACTTGGGGCTGGAAGGATAGGTTGGAGTCCAGAATGACACCAAGTACTCTGGCCTGCGGGGCGGGTTTTTGATGGTAGCGTTGTTGGATGTGATAGAGAAGTCAATGGGGGGTGATGTCCGGGCTGGGGGGAAGACAAGAAACTCGGTTTTGGAGAGGATCAGTTTAAGGAAGTGGAGCGACATCCAGTCTGATATGTCGCTCAGCAGGTGTGTGATTCGGGCGGAGATCGAGGGGGTGAGGTAGGGGGTTGAGAGATAGATTTGTGTGTCGTCGGCATAGAGGTGGTAGTTGAAGCCGTGAGAGTGTATGAGTTGGCCAAGGGAGGAGGTGTAGATGGAGAAGAGAAGGGGCCCGAGGACAGAGCCTTGAGGGACCCCAACAGAGAGGGGGAGTGAGAGGGAGGTGGTAGCATTATAGGTAACGCTGAAAGAGCGTTGTGACAGGTAGGATGAGAGCCAGGAGAGAGCAGAATCTCTGAGTGCAAATATTTACACATCTATACTATGTAAATATGTCTGTGCAAAATATCTGTAAACTTCTTGCATTCCTCTTCAGTCATTATGCACATGCACTTACTTGTGTTTAGATGTGTACACACAAATTATTGACCGCAGATGCAGATTTTTCCATTTTGGCTTTATGAATCTGAACACAGCCCAAGTTTACTAATCTTGACATAGCTATGCATATAAAAAAAAAAAACATTTTTTTCTCTACTGCCATGTGCAGTCCTAAGGGTTGCCATTTGGATAACAGACCAACATTACCCCATAGTAATATTACAGACTAGAGCACTTCTGGATAAGGCCAGACAGGGCTTCATTTCACGGTGTCGTACATGCTACTTACAGCATTCAACTTTTCCTGACATGTAAATGTTCATGCGAGGGAGCAAATATATTGTTGTACATGTGATACACTGTAAAACTGGTGACTAAAATCACAAAGAGTTCAGGTAGTCCAGAAATTCAAGTAACGTCAAGGTGTCAAGATCTGTCACTCAGTGAGAGATCTATTCCTCCACTGCCAACCTTTGTAATTATTATTATTATTATTATACAGGATTTATATAGCGCCACCAGTTTAACGGGAGACAATACAGCAACAATACAGTTCAACACAAGAGGGATAGGAGTGCCCTGTTCCTTGGAGCTTGCAATCTAGGAGGGAGGGGTTAGTGGTACAAAAGGTAGTAACTGTGGGGGATGGACTGGTAGGAGTAGAAGATTCCATTATTAGCTGAGGGCAGGATAGGTTTCCCTGAAGAAATAGGTTTTCAGAGATCGCCTAAAAGTGAGTAGGTGATAGTCTGATAAATTGGGGTAGAGAGTTCCAGAGGATGGGGGAAGCTCTGGAGAAGTCCTGGAGATGAGCATGGGAGGGAGACAAGGGAGCTAGACAGCAGGAGGTCGTACGAGGAGTGGATAGTACGGTTTTGGTGAAATGTGGAGACAAGATTGGTGAAGTAATTTGGGGCAGAGTTATAAATGGCTTTATATGTTATTGTTAATGTTTTGAATTTTATCCGTTGGGCAATGGGAAGCCAGTGGAGGGATTGGCAGAGAGGGGTGGCAGATACAGAACGGTTAGTAAGGTGGATAAGTCTGGCAGCAGCACTCATGATGGATTGAAGAGGGGATAGCCTGCAATGAGGTAGGCCAATGAGGAGGGAGTTACAATAGTCAAAGCGAGAGATAACAAGGGAGTGAATAAGTTGCTTAGTAGTTTCCGAGGTTAGGAGCGGGCGTATCTTGGAGATGTTGCGTAGGTGAAGTCTACAAGATTTGGACAGCGATTGGATTTGGGGCTGAAAGGACAGATGGGAGTCTAGGATTACACCTAGCACCCTGGCATGAGGGGAACAACTGATGGTTGAAGTCAGGAGAGGGGGCACGGGCTGGAGGGAATACTAGGAGCTCAGTTTTTGAAAGATTGAGTTTGAGGAAGTGAAGTGACATCCATGCCAATATGTCGCTTAGTAGGTTAGTAATGCGAGAGGATAATAAGGACCCATTCACAAATCTCTATCTCTACACACGAACTTTAATGGTATCTCAGTCTTAGTACTTAGGGTTCAATATTGAGTTGTCCCACTCTTTGCAGCTATAACAGCTTCAACTCTTCTGGGAAGGATGTCCACAGGGTTTAGGAGTGTGTCTATGAGAATGTGTGGCCATTCTTCCAGAAGAGCATTTGTGAGGTCAGGCACTGATGTCGGATGAGAAGACCTGGCTCGCAGTCTCTGCTCTAATTCATTTCAAAGGTGTTCTATCAGGTTGAGGTCAGAACTCTGTGCAGGCCAGTCAAATTCCTCCACCCCAAACTCGCTCATCCATGTCTTTATGGACCTTGCTTTGTGCACTGGTGCGCAGTCATTTTGGAATAGGAAGGGGTCATCCCCAAACCCAAATTGTTCCCACAAAGTTAGGAGCATGAAATTGTCCAAAATGTCATGATATCATGAATGCTTTAGAAGTTCCCTTCACTGGAACTAAGGGCCAAGCCCAACCCCTGAAAAACAACCCAACACCATAATCCCCCTTCCACCAAACGTTACACTTGGCACAATGCAGTCCGGCAAGTACCGTGCTCCTGGCAACTGCCAAACCCAGACACATCCATCAGACTGCCAGACAGAGAAGCGTGATTCATCACTCCAGAGAACACGTCTCCACTGCTCTAGAGTACAGTGGCAGCGTGCTTTACACCACTGATCCAACCCTTTGCATTGCACTTGGTGATATAAGGCTTGAATGCAGCACGGCCATGAAAACCCATTCCATGAAGCTCACTACACACTGTTGTGCTAATTTGAAGGCCACAAAGTTTGGAGGTCCCGTAGCTATTGAATCTGCAGACAGTTGGCAACTTCTGTGCACTGTGCGCTTCAGCATGCAATGATCCCACTCTGTCATTTTATGTGGCCTACCAATTCATTGTTGAGTTGCCTGTTTTTCCCAGTTGCTTCCACTTTGTTATAATACCACTAGCAGTTGACCGTGGAATATTTAGTAGCAAGGAAATTTCATGGATGGACTTATTGCTCAGGTGGCAACCTATCACGGTACCACGCTTGAATTCCCTGAGCTCCTGAGAGTGACCCATTCTTTCACAAATGTTTGTAGAAGCACAGTAGTGTATTTAGATTTTGTGCTGTCCTAGGCAACACAAAAATGTTGCGCCCTCCCCAATGAGAGAGCGAGAGAGTTCAATAAGTGTGTGTGTATATATATATATATATATATATATATATATATGATTCTCTGTCACCTTCTTTCTGTTCTCTCTCTCCCCCCCCCCCTTCCCCCTCTCTCTATCTCTCCCTCTTTCTCTCTCCCTCCCTCTCTCCCCTCCCCCCCCCCCTCGCTCTCTTCCACGTTCTCCCCCTCTTTTTTTCCCTTTCTCTCTTCCCCCCTATCTCTTCCCTATCTCTTTCTCCCTCTCTCTCTTTATCCCCCTCTCCCTCTTTCCTCTATTCTCCCCCTCTCTCCTCCCTCTCTTTCCCCTCCCACTCCCCCCCCTCTCTCTTCCCCCCCTCTCTTTCCTTCTCTCCCCCCCCCTCAGATCGTATGAGAACACACACACACCCCTCCCCCCTCTCCAAGGGCTGCTGATCTCCCTGCAGCAGGAAGGGGGGGAGGTGTGTGCAGTCCCATGCAATCTGTCAGTGTAATCTGCTGGATGGATGACAAGAGGGAGAGCCCACAGAAGACAACACAGCTCACCTCTTCCGGGCTCTTTCATTGCTTCTCTCCCCTGCACCAGGCATTCCCCTGGTCCCGGGTTGTCAGCTGCTGGAGGGAGAGGTGCACGATCATTGCTCTGCAACTGCCCTCCCCCACATCGATCTTCCAGCTATCTGCCGCTGCTCAAAGGGTCCCTAAAAATTGCCACCCTAGGCAAATGCCTTGTTTGCCTCGTGGTGGATACGTCCCTGTAAAAGCAGTCTGCATGCCTAGGTGCTTGATTTTATACACCTGTGGCCATGGAGGTGATTGCAACACCTGAATCCAATGATTTGGAGGGGTGTCCCAATACTTTTGGCAAAATAGTGTATATTAAGTTAAGGCAGCCTATTAATTTTGGATGGGCTGCCAATGCACAGGAATAGATTAACAACAGGCATACGGCATTTATCTGATGCAGCACACTGCAGTGCATGGTAGTACATTACTGTACATTGTGCTGAGCGCATGAGTCAAAGCTGAATCACCTTAGTGCATTGGATGCCATTCAAAATGAATGTAACGTAGCTTACATTATTGTGCATTGTGGCAATATACACGCGTGCATAACTGCAATATGCTAGATTGCAAAAGTATATTTCAGCCCTCGAACTTAAGCCATCTCTGCAAGAATTGCACATTTTTCATAACTAAAACAATAATTTTTATATATACAGGATAAATAATGCAGTGAATGCAGAAAAGTATGTTTACAGTGGCCAAACATGAAAAACTATTTCATAAATAGAACAGCATCAACTTTAAGAGAACTTGGCTGTTTAAAGGAAACATACACTGAGAAAATATGTAGGCTCCCATCGGGGATTTCAATTTTTGAAAAATCTTGCATCATGCTGAGTATTTGACCTTTAACAATCATGCAGGTTAAAGGGTTCTACTTCAAATTGATTAGCATTTTAAGTAGTATTTTCACAATAAAGTCAGCAATTACAACCCTCATATTTTTTAAAGGATAAGTTCACTTAAAAAATAATAAATGCACATATTTTTGCAAAATGCAAAAAAGAAATAATGGGAGCCTGCAAAGCATTGTACCCATGATCAGTGGATCACATGTGCAATATCAGGCTCCTGAAAACTCTTCCTCCAGCTCTCTAAATGAAAACCTGTACACAGGTACAGACAGAGAGCTGGAGGAAGAGTCAATTGACAAGGTGTTCAATTGAGAACTACAAGGGACTTGGATCTCATTCACAGATCTCCGTGAATGAATAACATGGCTGTTCAGGCAGAGACCTGCACAGCTGTGCCACTTTCAAAAGTGACAGCTGCTGCGAGGGGAAAAAACCCCCCCTGTATGATGTCACATGTGGAGCCTCTCTGGGGGTGGGGATGTTGCTTAGCAACATGTTACACCCTAAATATGGGTGTAACATGTTGCTAAAGCTAGAGTTAGCCTTTAGTAACATTAAAACACCTGCTTCTTAAGTCGCATAGTTATTTCAGTTTTAAAGATGATCTCCTGCTTTATCTTTAGGAAATACATTGACATTCCCGACCCCCCCCCCCCCCCCCCCCCCCTCCCTGATGTGAATCCTTAACCCCCTGAGGGTAAAACAAATCTTAATGCCTGAACACAGTTTTGAAACTTTGACATGTTAGTAAAACTGTATACCTATTATCACAACTACTTAGTGTATCTAGGTGAATTATGCCTTGGTTTTTTTTTTAGGACAAATTGAGCTTTTATTATATAGTAAAAAGGTAATGGATATTACCTGTTTTTTGATTATCAAAGTAAAATTGGCATAGGATAGTATTTTTTTTTTATTTAGCTGTATAGTTCTTGTCATCACCATAACGTAAAATCAAAGACCAACCAAAAATATTCTTCTGCTGATTGCAGGGATGCCACATATGCGTATGTTATTTGTTGTCTGTACCCATTGTAAAGCCCAGAAACATTTTACTTTTTTTATCCTAACACACTGACACTAAATGCTTTTTATTTATTTTTTTTACAATCCTACCTAAAATACACTGACCTTGGCCTTTGACCCTACTATTGACCCTAAGTTTAACCCTGACACCGACCTAGATCAAACCCTTAAATAGCAAGTTCATATTTTTTATTTTTACAAACTTTTTTGGTTTACAATTTTCTCCTCTAGCAAGGTGAAAAAGATACAATGTATCTTTTCCTCCAGTTATGATGAGAAAACAACACAGGGGCAGGCTGTACAGTGACTGATCATCGTGATAGTCAATCCGAGGCTATCACAGTGCTTGGGTGAGTATATGAGCTGACACTGTCCATGACAGCTCGGTCTCTGTGCTGGGAGTGCACTGTGCAGTGTGCTCTCAGCACAAACACAGGAGAGCATATATGCAGCCTCAAGGATAAAGACCCACCTCTGTGAGGCCAAATTTATGTGTGTGTGTATATATATATATATATACATATATACACACACACATATATATATATATATACTTGGTAGGGAAGCAGTTAATACTACTCTGTGCCTTCATATTTTTTTATACTACCACTAGAAAGGTGCAAAATCCATCCTTAGACCCATCCAACTTCCAGGCTGAATGACTTACAATTACAAAACAGGTCTCTCCAACACTCCTGATGATTGCCTGCCTCTCACACCCATTGGTTCCTGTTGTACATTAATTTTCCCTGGTTTGCAGCTCTTGAAACCTAAGCTGTGGTGCAGGGGCGGACTGACAACTCATGGGGCCCCCGGGCAATAGGGGATCATTGGGCCCCTGTGTCCTTGCCGAAACTCAAAAAAAGCCTATGAAAAAGATACCAGGGGCATCTCATGGGGCCCCTACTGACCCCGGGCCCTCAGGCACTGCCCAAGATTCCATATGGTCAGTCCGCCCCTGCTGTGGTGACATGAATGGGTTGTCTTTTGGCCCCTCTGAAAAAGCACATTTGCAGTGCAGCAGAGATTGACCTGAAACCTCCTAGGATGTGTGACATTAGTATCCCAGGAGAATTTGGGTGGGGAAATAGGAGTGTTAATCTTGCCAAGGCAAAAAACCCAGAAGTGTGGGGTTGGGACCCACTGAGAAGGCAACAAACCAAGATGGACTTTCAGATGTTATTTTGTACTCATGCCACATATATTACGATTGCTAGTTTTTCTTCTTTCAAGTTACTGAGCTTTATAAACACAGCAGTTTACTGCTGACGCTTCAAAATTCAGGAACCAGCAATACATTAACACTGATTTAATTGTTTTATATTTAAAGGCAAGCTCCTTCTGGTATCTTCAAAGTCTGTCCAATTTCATTCCATAATTCCCTTGGCTGCATGGGCTGATTTGCCAACTAAGTAGACATTTAGGTAAGACCATCTTTACTTGGCAGGCCTGCCAAAAGTGTTTGTTAATCGTAGGGGATAACTTTCATTTTTAAGGAAGCATACCCTAAATTCTCCCTATCCATATGCAAGCCTAGCAATATTTAGCCTTGGAATGTTTATATTCACTTTTGGGCTTTTATTACTGTCTTTCTGTTAGAGAGATTTCTATTGATATTATGTCCTTGGTATAGCTTGTCATGGGATAGGAAATAATGGGAAATCTCAGAAAAAAGGCATAGCCAACAACAAAAACACTTTTCGTATAGTGGAAAAAGGTAAGAGCTTTTGTCAGTTTTTTATTACTGATTTCCTGCTTCAGAGACACCCGTTCCTAATTTCTTGTCTTACTTGTCTAACAAAGAAAAACATTTTGGCTGAAGTTAAGGTTTAATTATTAAAATACCTAAAAATTTTCTGGATTTATTCACCTCATAACTCAACAACTGTATTTAATAACAATGTGAATACAATGATCATTAGATTTTATTGTTTAATATTATACACACTTTTCTTTTATATAGCAAACATCTGCTCTAATACAAAAACCAGCATGACCTTTCTAGCACATTTACATGTTTTTTTTATCAGATTCACTCTCAGAAAAGTAGAAGAGTGAAAGCAGTCAGGAAGTGATACCCTTAGAAAAAATACTTTTAATATGTCTGGATGGTGGTAAGTGGCCATAGAATGGATACACTTTATTTGATTTAAAGGTTGAATGGTCTAGGATCAAAAGAAGAAATGTTCCCTTCAAGTAGCATAGAGCATGTGTATCAGTAAATTGGATTCCAGCGTCCAGGACCTGTGCACAGTATCTAAGCTTCCATCTCGAATACATTTTGGTCTAACATAAGTCTAAAGGACATCTCTGACATTTGTGCATGGTAGGGAAGAGGTGTATCTACAATATTTCTTGGATTACAAAGAATTCCTCTCCGCTGTAAAGCAGGACCTTCACTGCTCCCAGTGCTCTGTTAATGAGAGACTACAAGTCCCAACAGCCTTAGCAGCTGTCAGCTTGTTGTCCTCAATGAACTACCATGGCGCTGTGAAGTGCCGTGGTAGTTCATTCATGCTTCCTATCAGTATATGTGCTTGCTCGCACATCCTGTACGGGCAAGCAGATATACTGACAGATCTGTATCGCACATCCCGTACGGGCAAGTAGATATACTGATAGATCTGCGGGAGACCTGTATGGCACCAGTGATCTGCTGATCACCAGTGCAATGCTTTACAGGCTCCTGCAGACAAAATTAATAAATGCACATTTTTTTTTGCAAAAAAAAAATGTGCATTTCTTTTTTTTTTTTTTGCAAAAAGGTGAACTTATCCTTTAACTTATCCTTTAACGTATAGTACCAGGCTATAATATTTAGCATAACTTAAACTTAAAGACATTGACTTATTGCAAAATATATCTCTCAACAAATCAGGACACAGCTTAGAGAACTTATCCAACAAACATTTAGTTTGCAGGAAACTGCAAGGACGACTGAATTAACTTCAGATAGTAGTACACATGTGAATGCGTGTAGCCAGCCACTGTCTCTGATCACTGCCATGGCAGTACAATGTAACCATAGTGACACTGCACTGCTCTGGTGACAGTATTTAAAAAAAAAAAAAAAAATTAAATATATATATATATATATATATATATATATATATATATATATATATATATATAAAAATATACACCCACACATACAGGGTGACCGATGAGAGTCGGATGGTTTTGAAAAAAAACAGTGCTCCATAGATTTTCAACTTGAAATGTATTTATATTTACAAAAACAGAGGTCAAGACATGCCATCTGCGTTACTTGTTCAATTATGAAAAAAAAAATGTATATATATATATATATTTTTTTTTTTTTTATTTATATTTTTTTTTACATGCTATCACCAGAATAAGCAGCGTGCTACTATGGTGACATTGTACTTCTATGGCAGTCATGATGTTCAATGGCTGGCTGCTCTGATGACACTGTCAGTGTAGCCAACCATTATCTCTGAACAATGTCATAGCAATACAATGCCACCATAGCGACACTGCACCTGCTCTGGTGACAGCATGCACAAAAAAAAAAATTAAGTATATATACAGTCAGGTCCATAAATATTGGGACATAGACACAATTCTAACATTTTGCATATGTGCCTCCCACTTGTTAACGGACCAAAAGTAATGGGACAATTGGCTTCTCAGCTGTTCCATGGCCAGGTGTGTGTTATTCCCTCATTATCCCAATTACAATGAGCAGATAAAAGGTCCAGAGTTCATTTCAAGTGTGCTATTTGCATTTGTAATCTGTTGCTGTCAACTCTCAAGATGAGATCCAAAGAGCTGTCACTATCAGTGAAGCAAGCCATCATTAGGCTGAAAAAACAAAACAAAACCCATCAGAGAGATAGCAAAAACATTAGGCGTGGCCAAATGATGTACCAGAGTGATGGGAAGAGAAGAGTATGGAGAAGGAAAGGAACTGCTCATGATCCTAAGCATACCACCTCATCAGTGAAGCATGGTGGTGGTAGTGTCATGGCGTGGGCATGTATGGCTGCCAATGGAACTGGTTCTCTGGTATTTATTGATGATGTGACTGCTGACAAAAGCAACAGGATGAATTGTGAAGTGTTTCGGGCAATATTATCTGCTCATATTCAGCCAAATGTTTCACAACTCATTGGACACCGTTTCACAGTGCAGATGGACAATGACCCAAAGCATACTGCAAAAGCAACCAAAGAGTTTTTTAAGGGAAAGAAGTGGAATGTTATGCAATGGCCAAGTCAATCACCTGACCTGAATCCGATTGAGCATGCATTTCACTTGCTGAAGACAAAACTGAAGGGAAAATGCCCCAAGACCAAGCAGGAACTGAAGACAGAGGCCTGGCAGAGCATCACCAGGGATGAAACCCAGCGTCTGGAGATGTCTATGCGTTCCAGACTTCAGGCTGTAATTGACTGCAAAGGATTTGCAACCAAGTATTAAAAAGTGAAAGTTTGATTTATGATTATTATTCTGTCCCATTACTTTTGGTCCCTTAACAAGTGGGAAGCACATATGCAAACTGTTGTAATTCCTACACCGTTCACCTGATTTGGATGTAAATACCCTCAAATTAAAGCTGACAGTCTGCAGTTAAAGCACATCTTGTTCGCTTCATTTCAAATCCATTGTGGTGGTGTATAGAGCCAAAAAATGTTAGAATTGTGTCGATGTCCCAATATTTATGGACCTGACTGTATATACAAATTATAATGAAAATTGAAGTTCTCTGAATATAGAAAATGCCATCACTGTGCTAAATACATAAGAATTGTGATATAGAGTATACAAACATAGTAAATAATGAATAAAGTCCGTAAAGAAAACCCAAAACTATGAGAATATGTTGTGACCACTTAGTGTTGCAGGATGAATGAAAGTGCTCCAAAACCACTCCACACTCGTGATAAACACACTCCTTACCAAAAGGACTGATCCCACAAAGAGATCATAAATCACCTTACTCCCCACAGCACCAATCTGGCTGTCACAAATTCGAAAAGCTTCCTAGGTGATAGTGTAAAAGAAAAGAAATCCCATGGTGTTTGTAAAAGAACTGCTTCAGTTTATTAAATATTGCACTCACAATTGTCAGGATTCACAATTGCACACATCTCAATACAATAGCACTGCTGGATCCACCATGGACGTGCGTGATGATGTTATGTGTCCAACCCTCCAATCCATTTCTCTCTAATGAGTGTCCTCAGGGGATAGGGACTTTTCATACATAGAGACAATGGCTGGCTACACTGACATCATACAGTGCCATAAAAGCAGCCAGCCATTGTAATAATTACCACCACAGCAGTGCAATATCACCCTAGTGACTCAGCGCTATATATATATATATATATATATATATATATATAGCCAAAAGTATTGGGGCACCTGCCTTTACATGCACATGAACTTTAATGGCATCCCAGCCTTAGTCTGTAGGGTTCAATACTGAATTGGCCCACCCTTTGCAGCTATAACAGCTTGAACTCTTCTGGAAAGTCTGTCCACATAGTTTAGGAGTGTGTATGGGAATGCTTGACCATTCTTCCAGAAGCGCATTTGTGAGGTCAGGCACTGATGTCAAACGAGAAGGCCTGGCTCACAGTCCCAGCTCTAATTCTATCAGGCTGAGGTCAGGACTCTGCAGGCTAGTCAAGTTTTCACCCCAAACTCGCTCATTCATGTCTTTATGGACCTTGCTCTGTTCATTGGTGCTCAGTCATGTTGGAACAGGAAGGGGAAAACCCAAACTGTTCCCACAAAGTTGGGAGCATGAAATTGTCCAAAATGTCTTGGTATGCTGACGCCTTAATGAGTTCCCTTCACTGGAACTAAGGGGCCAAGCCCAACCCCTGAACAACAACCCCACACCATAATCCCCCCGTCTACAAAAATTTACACTTGGCACAATGCAGTCAGGCAAGTACCATTCTCTTGGCAACTGCCAAACCCAGACATGTTCATCGGATTGCCAGACAGGAAAGCATACTTTGTCACTCCAGAGAACATGTCTCCACTGCTCTCGAGTCCAATGGCTGTGTGCTTTACACCACTGCATCCGACGCTTTGCATTGCACTTGGTGATGTAATGCTTGAACGCAGCTGCTCAGCCGTGGAAACCCCTTCTATGAAGCTCTCTAAGAGTGGTTGTGCTAATCTGAAGACCACATGAAGTTTGGAGGTTTTTAGCTATTGACTCTGCAGACAGTTAGCAACTTATGCGCACTGTGTGCATGGCACTGACCCCCCTCTGTCATTTTACGTGGCCTACCACTTGGTGGCTGAGTTGCTGTTGTTCCCAGTTGCTTCCACTTTGTTATAATACCACTAACAGTTGACCATGGATTATTTAGTATCAAGAATATTTCACAGATGGACTTCTTGCACAGGAGGCAACCTATCACGGTACGGTACCACACTTGAATTCACTAAGCTCCTGAGAGCGACCCATTCTTTCACAAATGTTTGTAGAAGCAGTCTGTATGCCTAGGTGCTTGATTTTATACACCTGTGGCCATGGAGGTGATTGAAACACCAGAATCCAATAACATGGAGGGGCTTCCCAATACTTTTGGCAATATACTGTATGCAGTATTGTGCAGAAGTTTTAGGCAGGTGTGAAAATAATGCTGTAAATTAAGAATGCTTTCAGAAATAGCTGAACAAAAGAAAATCCAAATAAATCAATATTTGTTGTGTGACTACCCTGTGGCTTCAAACCGACATCATTTTTATTTATTTATTTACATATTTAGGTACACATAGTCTGTGGATGTAGGCTACCTGAAATCCTTCTGTCTCTTCATGTAATCCCTGGCAGATTCAATGAGGTTGAGATCAGGGCTCTGTGGGGGCCAAACCACCACTTCCAAGGCCAGAGAGCAGTACAATAATGAATGTTTGCAGGCAACAGTGAAGCATAGTGGAAGTTCCTTGTAATGGAGTTGGAGATTTGGTTAGGACCAATGATGTCCTCAATTCTGAGAAAAATAGGCAGATACTTATCCATCCTACCATGCCATCAGGGAGGCGTGTGATTGCCCCAAATTTATTCTGCAGCAGGACAATGACCAAGAACATGCAGCCAATGTCATTAAGAACTATCTTCAGTGTAAAGAACAAGGAGTCCTGGAAGTGATAGTTTGCCTCCAAAGAGCCCTAATCACAACCTCGAGCCTTTCTGGGATTACACGAAGAGACAGAAGAATTTGAGGCAGCCTACATGGAACAAACTACAGTACTTGCCGAGTTCCTTCAAAAAATGTGTGCACACAGTGCTAAAAGAATTGAGGATGGTTTGAAACCAAAGATTGGTCACACCAAATATTGATTTGATCTAGATTTGTCTTCTGTTCGTTCACTTTGTATTTTTCAAATTGCTAAAAACAATAAAAATATACTTTTTAAAGCATTCTTACTTTACAGCAATTCTTCACACCTGGCAAAAAAAATTTGCACAATACTGTGCGTGTGTGTGTGTGTATATATATATATATATATATATATATGGCTTGAAATTTCCACTCGCCTGCTCGCCAATGGTGAGTGAAAATTATGGCGGGGGCGAGTGTGTCCCCCAGGGCCATCTTGCTGAGCAGGGTCGGAGCTCAGGCCGGATCTGTCATGGGCACTGGGAGCCGTCAGACTGCTCAATAGCTGAGCGCAGTGAAAGCAAAGCAAGGAGTGTGTGCTGTGCTCTCTGCCTCCCCCTAGAATGCAGTACCCGGATCTGTGAGTGAACAACGAAGTACTGCAATTTTTTTATGGGGGGGGGTGATGTGTATGTGTGTGTTTGTGTGTGTCTGTGTGTGCAAGTACAATTGTACATGTGTATGTACATGTGTGTATCTGTACATGTGTCTGCATGCATGTACACGTATGTGTGTGTACATGTGTGTGTGTGTATGTACATGTGTTTGTGTGTATGTATGTACATGTGTCTGTGTGTATTTCTGTGTATGTACATCTATCTGTGTGTGTATACGTGTCTGTATGTGTGTGTGTCTGCATGTGTCTCTGTGCGTGTGTGTACATGTTTCTGTGTGTGTATACAGGTGTCTCTCTTTGTGTGTGTTTGTTGGTGGCAAGTAACTCTAAGGCCTAGCTAGTAGCTCAGGACTTGAAATTTTAAGCCCTGTGTATATGTATGTATGTATGTATGTATATATATATATATATATATATATATATATATACATACATACATACACACACACACATATACATACAATGTAAATATACTGTATGTACATACACGCACACAGTATTTTTTTTTTACATAGTGACACTGTACTGCTGTGGCTACTATTGTAATGGCATACAACGACCAATGTCTATGATCAATAGAGAGCAGTACAGTATCATCATAGTGACTTACTGCTGGGGAGGGGGCTTGTGCATTTTTTTTTTAACATGATGACTGCTCACCACATGATTGCTGTGAGAGGGAATGACACAAAGGATGCAGGCATGCAGCCTTTGCTTACATGTGTGATTGCTGCGATTGGTCACAGTGATTACATGGTACAGCACCGATTTCACTGCTCCTGTACCCCATTCTGTGATCCACTGATCACAGAGCATGCTGCTGTAC